TACATGAGACGGTTTGCTGGAGAAAATTTCATTCTCGTGTATATTTCCATTAGTACAGATTATATACAACAATACCCAGAATTCATGAAATTTTTGTCTGCCTTATAAATACAAAATACATATCTCGCGAAAATAAGGTGTCGCAAATATTTAGTGATCTACAGTATTGTAATGTCAGCTGTGTGCACTCATTTTAGCTGATCAGATCTTTTGGTCAGTCTTATGATTCCCTTGATAACGATTGTTTAGATTACGTGGAATTTAACTCTTTTGTCAATTACTCTAGTAGTAGGATTTTTAGCTGTGCTTTGCACACTTTTTTAATGCTCTATAAATTACATTAATAATATTCAAAATGAGATCGAATGTCCTGGGATTTTAGCTAATTAAATAATTAAAGCAGAATTCCGACCCTTTAATAAAGAATATTCAATTTTATAGACATTTTTTGTTATGCAAACTTGCATTGGCTTATTCAATGAAGAAATAACTGTCTAGTTTTTTTTGGTTTTATGATGTGATCAAGCAACTGGCTTGCGTGATAATTTGCCAAAATGCGGAAGGCGTTTATGCATAAAATTAACATGCAAGCAAATTGCTTGATCACATCATAAAACCAAAAATACTAGACAGTTATTTCTCATTTTTACATGATTCTGTAAATAATGTGCTTGATCCAAGCCCCGCCCACTTCTCTGTAGCTCTATGTCTCATACTCCCTCCCTGCAGGTGATTTTTTTTTAACCACGCCTTTCTATGAACCAATAGCTTTATGAAAAAATCAAGTTTTTTTATCATTTGTAGTTTTATCTTGGAAAAAGAAATTTGAAATGTAAATATAAACCATATAAAGTTTTGCTCTTCTAAAATTGTAAGAGAATACCAAGCCTCCTTAAGGTGTTCTGTTTTACAGAGGTTAAGATTTTATATGATCTCTTGAAATTAAATTATTTTAAGAACATGGTAGTTTACCGTTGATGCCCCTGTCTTATTGTACAGGTCTAAAGTGAAGATTCCTAGACTTGCTCTTTATGCAACTGAAATTTTATATTGTCCTTGTCCTTACACCAAACTCAGTTTTTTGAAACAATATGACTCTGAAAAAAAAATGTAACGATGTGTACTTTGTATATGTACATACTGATCCAGAAATACGAGTTAATTTTGGCAAACTCATTAGATTTTACAGAGAATTTAACTTTCGAGCATTTTTTCCTTATTAGAGACACTAATTCCATGGTTGAGGAGTTTATGTTATTAGCCAATGTGTCAACTGCACAGAAGACCCTCCAGGAATTCCCTGATTGTTCTTGTCTGAGGAGGCATCCAATACCCCCACCATCAAACTTTGACCCCCTAATCAAAGCAGCTCAGTCAAAGGTATTAAAAAGTACCGGTATACATGTATATACAAGTAAAAGCAGCTCTAATTTATGTGCCCTCTTTCCTGGTCTTTTATCTGGTAATTTTAATATAATATCTTCCTAGCTTGTTGCACTGGAAATTCTTTGTTTCAAAGAAGAAGATTGTCTGTCATTTTCTGTCATTGTAGGGTTTTAAGATCGATGTATCCAGTGGTAAGATTGTCAGTTGGGTTTCCTTCAGTGATCAGCTGTTTACGAGTCATTTTCTGTCATTGTAGGGCTTTAAGATCGATGTGTCCAGTGGTAAGGCTCTAGCAGATAGTCTGGAGAGAGCTGTTATACCAGATGACCCTTACTTTAATGTGATGTTAAGGATCATGACAACGCGGTGTATGACCCAGGCTGTGTATTTCTGTAGCGGAATGTTACCGCCCACTGAATATCTTCACTACGGTCTGGCTGCTGAGATTTACACACACTTTACATCACCAATCAGAAGGTAGATCCAAACTGGCTAACTTACCAGATTTATCAAATCTAGTTCAAAGGTCAAAATAAATGAATATGCTAAGAGATTCTTAACATAAACGCTGTATCAAATGGATTAAACTGTTTTGTAGGTATTCTGATATCATAGTTCACCGTCTGTTGGCCGTTTGTATTGGAGCAGATGCTTCTTATCCAGAGCTAACAGACAAGTATAAAACACAGGTATGTGACAATGTGTAATTTTTTCTGTACCATTATGTTGCTTATAATATACTTGTAAAATATACTAAAACATTTTGTACATGTGCAACTGAAATTTTCTGATTTATCAGGCAGTGTGCAATAATTTGAACTATCGTCACAAGATGGCACAGTATGCAGGTCGGGCATCGGTCAACCTTCATACACATGTAAGTACCCTTGCTTGATATTCTACCATATTAACATCAAATTTAAATTTTGCAAGCAATGAAACTATAGGAGATATGTTTGAATTCTGATAAATAGATACTGTAATCCAACTATTATTCGCGTCATCTTTTATTCACGATTCGTCAGTTTGAAATCAATCTGCGATGATTAATTTTCGCGACTGAGATATTATTCTATACAAATAGAAAGCAAAATAAATGGTTCAAGGCGATTAATATCCGCGAGTTAAAGAAGGTCGCAAAACTCGCGAATATTTCTCGCACGCGAATAAAAGTTGGTTTACAGTATGCTTTTCTCTAAGGTCCGTATAGCTAGCTAGGTCAATATTATAATAGGAAACTGTGCTATTGATACATTCATAGATAGGGTTAAGGAGCAGTCTTGATTATATGTAGTCTTTAGAGTGAAAGAAAGAACATTGTAAACACATGTACTGTAGATACATGTATATATGGCAAAACAGAATGTATTAGAATATTCCTCCTCAAAAATTTCTTTGTACATGTCAGTGAGAAATAACTTCAGTTATTTCATTGGAAATTTTTTTCTGTGTTAGATATTCTTCAAAAATAGACAGGTGGATAATGAAGGGTATGTCCTGTTTGTGCGTAAGAATGCCCTTCAGATCCTTATTCCTAAATATGGACTTGAGGCGACCCTTTATCTGGACTCCAAGGCTGTTACATTTGAATATGATGAACAGGTTTGTCATTAAACATTGTGTAGTTTGGATTTTCATTTAAAATATTTTGCACATGCCTCATCATATACTATGCTTCAACTAGATATTGATGGAATAAATTTGTCAAAGGGGAAGATGAGTTGATTTCAATGTACAAGAAGATTAGTTATGTCAGAATCTGACCTATATTTAACATTAATTCTAGCCATCCTTTGTAAACATGTATTTTCCTGTTACAGGAGCACAGTCAGACTTGTGGGAATGTTGTGTTTAGAGTGTTTGACCGAGTCATTGTCCAGCTGACTATAGACCAGTCCAATGTACAGCACCTCAAGTTACAGACAAAACTCGTAGAACCTAAGGTTTGAATCTCAATTTTGTAAAATACATACATGTATATTGTTCCTTGTACTGTTGTCACTGAGTAATGAATAAACTGAATTTTAATTAACAAAATACATGTATATAAACTTTGAATAAATTTCAGTTGACTGTGATTTTAATAAAAGCACATAAGTACAGCCCTCTCTTCCAATTACATTGTAAATATCTGTACAATTTTATTACAGTGGCTCTACTGATTGAAGAAAAGATGATCTTACTGTACTGTAGGATATCTGTCTGTCTGTTAATCTGTCCATATACTGTGGAATCATCAGATTTCATAGTGGCTCAGTATTGGTGCAATTTGTGGGTTCTCTCATCCACGAATTTACATCCTCCATGAATTAATAGTCAAGGGTTTTAGAATCATCTTTCCTTTTGTAGATGAGTGAATACATGAAATTACGTCCCCACAAACCTGTCAAATTTTACCAATCCACTAAAATTGGCCCCATGAATTTTAATGATTTCACAGTAGCTGTCTGTAAATATATTTCAAACAATCCTACTCCTGCAGTTTATAGTCTTGTCTTCAAATGAACTTGGCATACAAATAGACTACACAAAGATATATATTTATGCTTTAATATTAAAATTCTGATTTTGATGAACAATGTTGACAGAGTTATTAAAATTTCTGTGAAATTCTTTCAACACCTCCTACATGTTTGGTACAATTTTATATTTTAAAAAAAGTGGTATTCCTCCTAAAGTTTTGGATTTCATCAAGATGTAAATGTATAACTTAAAAAAAAAATTTTCAAGTCTTGCTTCCACTATTTTAGGAAGTACAAACCAGTAGAGCTACAAACTCATCAGAGATTTCTGCCTATCTTAAAAGTGTCTCAAATAAAAAGACAGAAACGATATATGTACATTTGTATGTGATGCCGCTTATATGAAGAGCAGTCCTTGAAATCATAATTTGACATTGAAACAGTTACGTAAATATGTTAAGGCATTGAAAAGAATTTCTTGGAGTGCTTTCTCAAGTTAGTTTATGTAAACCTTGTTTTTACAGATAGAGGGCTTCAGTGTCCCGCCAGCCCCACCCTTAGAAGATAGCGGCGAAGAACCCCCACCCAAAAAGATGAAGACTTGAATGATAAAAGCTAAGGAATTAGCAGGGTTTTTTGGGGGGCTCAATAGCAGCCTGTATTGTTCCGTGGACACATTTCAGTATCAAATACAGAAAAATATAGACATTATGTTAAAGTCAAATCAGATGTGTAACTGGAATCACAAGTAGTACTGTTGTTGGATGAAAACTATTTTTGTATTTGCACTAGGAATTCAGTTGCAAGTGTTTTGTTATAGAAATAAAGTTTTAACAAATTAATGTCTACATGTATGTGTTGTTTGTCACGTAGAAATCTTCATTTTTATTGTCCTTCCCAGGAACAAGGAGTCAGTTTCAAAAAATGTTTGTGCAAAAATTTTGTTGGTCAAGTTTATTTCTGACCAATTGCCTCAAATTTTCTTGAAAAAGAAAAAAAACCTACTTTTTGGAGGGGGGGGGGGGGGCAAATAATGTACATGTTATCTACTGGTAGTATGATAGTTTCCTCAAGCATAAAGTAACGCAGGGTTCACCACAGGTAGCATTGATCTGTATAGTGCTCCGCTATTCTCAAGAAATAACTAGTTCAGATTTTAATATCAGATTTTATTTTATAACAAAGTGATTCTTTCAGACTTTCAAAAAAGCAGTATATTGCACAATGTAAAGTAAACATATAAAGAAAAAAAATTTGGCTAGACATGATTAATCAGCATGAATCATTTTAAAAATGTTAAAAGTGATTTAGATCCCTTACACAATACTTATGCACAATTAACTCTCAACAGGTGTACAATTTATTCAATTGGTGTGATAAAAGCTCCAGATGATGGTAACATGAAATTTGAAAAAAAAAAAAAAAAAGAACTATACAGGACAATACAGCTATTAAAAATATATTCATATCTGACTGGATTCAATTTTAAGCAATTACATGTAAAATAATTTTGGCTTTAGCAAATTCATCATGTGTTGAATATAAAACACTGAAATGAAAAAAAAAAACTGTAAGACTTTGTCCATAACACTCACTTGAGACAACAATTTTGAGATTTTTGAAGATTTTTTCTTGATTTGACTAAATATTTTATGTTTCACTCTAGTCCCAGGGGCCATCATTTTAACAAATCTGATTCTCGACAACGTGGAGATGATAATATTTGACTAATTGCAGCCTTGCTGTTCGTAAGATTTGTTCCGAAAAATTTCATATGAAACTTTGACACCCCTGAATTACAGTCCCTAGCCCCCGAGGCCATGTTTTGAACAAATTTAATGTACACTTATAAAGAAGCCTTCAATTTTGATGTTTCTGAATCAGTGGTTTTTGAGAAAAAGGTTATGGTAACTTTCAAATAACAACATCTTTTCAATATTTTTTAATTATCTCCCCTTGAAAGAGCAACTGTGGCTTGTGGCTATTCATCATTTGAATATGAATGAATTTCCTTCACTAAAGAATTCTTTAGTGAAGGAAAAAGAAGTTGAAAATATGCAATGTTTACAAACAACACTTGACAGACAGATGGACACTCTTTGACCAGATAAACTTTCTCGAGTATTTTGCTCAGGGGAGCGAAAAGCAATAACTACAACTAATGTTTAATTCAAAATCTGAAAAGGCATGTATTGCAAATGATGATATTTTTATAAGCATTTATAAAGCTTTCTTTACAAAGGCAAAGTTTCATTTAATTCATTGTCATTCATACCCTGAGCCTAACATATTTGAAAAGAAATGTTTTTCTTGTGTCTGATATCTTGAAACAAATCATGTACATTAAAGGAATGTTAAGAAAAATATCAACTAAGGAATGCAAAGTGTCAGTTTTTCTTAAACTGACAGTTCAATGATTCTGTGCTTCCATAATGCCCTACCAATCTAATAATAGACACTTTGGTGTCACAATTGCTTGTGCATTTCAAAATCACATCCACCAATAAACCTGTATTGCCCCTTCAATTCCCCTGTTTTTTTTTTTTGTTTTTTTGTTTTTTGTTTACAAAAATGCTGAGAAAATGCATGAGGATCGTGTGAGAATTGTGCATCCACTTGTGTTGCACAATCCACAGTATATCAGTACACCTTTAAACAAAGAGTAGTTTATTTGTGTAGATTTACAGTATTAAGACACCTGCAACTTCAAATTCCTTTATCTTTTGTACATAAGGTCACTTTTTTTCAATCAATGCATGAGGTGACTTCAAGAAACAACAAGTATTTGTCATTCTTACTTTTTAAGACAAGGGGTTTGATAAAGATATAAAGATCACTAGTGTTTTACTCACAACTAGAGAGCATTACATGATAGAAGCTTAAAATTAGCATTTCAATAAAATTCAAAATGGAAGGAATTAGAAGGAAAAACAATAATCTAACTGCATCTCAATCTGAACAGATATGCAGGGTGCTAGAAAAAAGAATCAGTCTAATATTCCTCTGTATTAATATATAAATATGACTCATGCTGAATTAACATCCATTGTGTCTAAAAACATGTACATGTACAAACATGTACCAGTACTCACTGCTCGCACAATGTATTTATCTCCTGCAGGGCAAAGGAAGACTTTGAATTCAACAGCAATTTTGTTAACAAATGTGTTCTTAAGACATTAAAAAGAAATGGTTATATCTTTTTTCAGATGTGAAACTTCTACAAACATCTCAAACATTTAGCTACCCATTAATGTCACTTCACCAATAAGATATATAACTTAATATAATGCAATATTAATTTTGAATTTTTCGACACACTTTCATTGTCATTATTATAAATTAAAAGAAAATATGAAAGAATGTTAATAAAACTCCATAAAAAATAGTCTAAAAAAAGGCTGTAATACATGTATACAGTGCACCGATTAACAACCTTGCACAATACTCATCAATGAAACTTGTGCATTAATCAACAATCATAAGAATGCCAATATGACAAAAACGTGCATGTAACATAAACAAATTACACTTGGTATATTCATATTATTTTACTTAAAAAAGAAGGACTATTACATGTTTGAGGAAACCTGCAGTCACTTTTAGGAGATATATATACATGTATATAAACTTTCTTTATCATTCAAATTAGAGCAATGAATATGCCGATCTGTTTTATTTTTCAATCCTGCTATAGAAATAGTCACTTTTGAATTGGTGGGAATTGTTGCTTTAAACTAATAATACATTTATCTATCCCCCTTTTTTTTTGGAACATCTACATGAAACTCTGACTTCCAGGTAATGATATACTCTTATTTATACATGTAACATATTACACATAAACTCCTTTGTGTGGCCATGTTATACAAGACCTACACATTAAGTACAATTTTTCTGATGATAAAACAATATGCTGTACATGTATGAGTGCCAGGCTGATTCTTGTTTAAATTTGTTACAAAAAGCAGTGCAAACCTTTCTTGTTGAGCATGATCATTAATTAGCTAAGAACAGTCATAAAACTGTAATTAACACTGTAAATTGTACAGGTGGAACTATCACAGACAACAAATCTCATTCATGTAACCTGTCACCCAAAAACTATTGACATTTTTGGGAAACATTTAGGATTTATGGATTGAAAAACTGTTTCACAGTTGCTGTTAGATGTTACAAGGAATTGAAAATTACTGAATACACTGGATCTATGAACATCTTCTATCATTGAGCAGTATTAAATTATTAATCTGCCTGATCATTTTGTTTTCACCAAAATAAACAGAATCATTTAGGGCAGCAAGGGTTGTCTACCATGAGGACAACATCTATCCCATAATGCTCCACCAACTCCATAAGGAAGGTTCGGTCTCCCTGGGGGTCTAGACCCATATTCCTCATGTGATCTGAGGTGAGTTGTCGGTCATGTGAATGGGCCACATCCAACAGCGTGCTGAACAGGTCATTGTTCTGCTGGGTAAAAAACCTGCAAGGTACACTCTCATTTCAATTTTTGTTTGTTAATCATACATAAATGCAAGTATGATGATGAAAGAAACAATCAGTCAATATTTCAAAAACTTACGATGTGATTAATTCCTCTTCATCCACCACATCCTCTCCCATACCTTCATATGAAAATTGGTTAGCAGACCTGTAACAAAAATACTACTACATGTAATAAGATAAAAATATGTGACCTTTGAAGTGTTCCCTTCACTTAAACAAAATAATTCATGAAAGAAAATTCCAGAAACATGGCCTACCTCCGATTTAAGAGTTTGTTATATTTGTCCTTGTCAGCATCACTGAGTTTCAGCAGTTCTTGTACAACCGGAGTGTGGGCTGTGATAACCTGGTTATCTACATAAACGTCATGTAAATAGGTCTTTGTTTCAAAAATCTTCTCTGTTGTACCTACATTGCAAAATGTATATTATTATCATCAAAATACCAGAAAAAGCAAGTCATACTCAAAGATGCACTTTCTTCAATGATTATGAAATTCTACTGAATACATACATGCAATGTATGCCACTTCTGTTTCCAAGGTTTCTATATCAGCGACATTAACATAGAAATGGGGTTGTACCTCATGACCTAGTTTTCCAACCTCATGGTTTCCAAGACAACATGCACAGTACACTACAATAAATAAACTTATTGAACAATAAACAAAAACCCTCTATCAGTCTTACAGAATATTCAGAGAAACTTGAACACCCAAGTACATGTAGTCATGTACAAGTACATGGATTGCATATTTTTCTGTATAGATACAACATACCCTAAAAATTCCAAGGCTCTATATCTAAATTACATGTATGTTAACAGTTTAATAATATAGATCTGCACAAGTCTAACAATCCATAAATACCTCGGCATTGTCATAAAGTACACTTTATAATTTAAATCATGAAAATTAGCAATCTCACAGAATACATATCAAAGTGTTGTACAACTTGAAAAAATGAAATCTATTTATAAAAGGGAAGGTAATCCATCAAAGAAAAGGATCTTAAAACAATGCATAGCTATTTTATCTAATCAAGAACACAGGTAAGAGAGCTTCCAATGCATGACCAGTAAAAAATCTTTATTTTATATTAGAAGCATAATCCATTCAGGCTTAGTTCCCGTGAAGCTTATACATATTAACTGTTACTAAGGAAGAGACCTGCTACAAAAATCAAACATCGAATGATAACAAGAGAATGCTGAGCAGTTATTAGTTTTTATGTTATATTTTAACTGACAGTCTCTGCTAGAGAATATTGTACCTTACCTTTATAACAGACTACCCCTATTGGTGGTGGGGAGAAAAACAATATCCTTTTCTGCAGCAGAACCAGTTTCCATAATATAAAGATGTTTGCACCAAAGAATTTTATAAACTGTGAGAAGCAGCCAGCAGGGTGGGTTATCTGTAAGGTAATCAATTTAATTTGAGTAAGAGGAAAAGGTATTCTGTAATGCCTCTGTAAAAGGCAATACTGAAATTCCATTAATTGGAATGTACAGATTAATTAGTATAAAGTGTACAAATTTAGCAATATACAATTATCAAGTGCATGTGGAGTCAAAATCTTCAAGTTGAATCTATACACAAGAGCATGTTCTGCAGACAATCCATTTTTAATGAAACAGGCTACTGACAGATAAGTTGATGTTACAAGGGTATCAATAATCTCAATTAAAGTGAAATTATTTTGAAATTCTATGATCATTAAAATGACCTTGTTTGCAACTACAACCTATTATTTGGCAGAATGTTTACTGACATTTTTAATACCAACTGCTACACCAATATTTTCATACTTCTTTGTCAACAGATTTCCCCATTTATCTGATCATAACAAAGGGTTCAGACCAGGTGTGTCAGGTCTACAGAAGATGTTTACTGCTCCATGGAACCTGATCCCACATCTGATGTTTCCAGGGGTCTATGTTTGCTCTAATCTCACTTTGTAATAATTAATTAGATTCATGAACTTGATTATTGTTCATTATCTTCATATTTCATATGGAAGTTCAGCCTTATACATTTATAGCAAACCTGTCTTTTAATGACTACTGAGCAGATGTCACAAGACACAACAAACAGGCTTTTAGTCATCAGACACCTACATGTATTTTCTCACAAAAAACATTGATCAACAATTTCATATAAGACACCCAGCAGAAAACCAACCTTCATTTCTGGCAGCAGACTACTTGGTGTGGAAGGTGTAGAGGTAGGAGTAACCCCCCTTGAGCTGGCTGACTCTGGAAGCACTCCTTTCTTATCATTGTAGAAAGCTTGAAGCTGAGAATAAATACCTGGCAACTCCAACTGGTGTCTGAAAAATACAATCAAAATACATCTAGTTATTGTAAATGAATGAGATTAAATGATCAGAATGTGTTAAATGTTGAGAACAAAATTATCCATGATACTCTCTGTATAGAATACATTTAAAAACGAACTGAAGTGCTTTTAATACATGTACCAGTATGTTTTTGATTTTTTACCTCAAATACTGTTACAAATTTATTAGCACACTTATAAACACACTTAAAATACCATTTCTCTATCAGTTTGGAACTGTTGCAAGCTCTGGCTCCAATACAACCAAATCTGGTTATCTTTGACTCTGTATTTAATGAGACAATGGAGAAGAAATTGATTTGTTGATGAGGTGTAATTCTTGCACATGTCTTGTTTTCAGACAAGCCTTTTTGAAGTAATGGGTAGGAGGGGACAGAGAGGATGGAGTTGTACTGTACTTCATAAAACTGATCACTGAGAAAGTACCTGACTTGTGACTCTAAGAACTGTATGTGTCTGTACAGCAGTGTATAGGAAGTGGATAAAATCCCTACAGACTTCATCCTAGCTCCTCGCTCAATCTCACTCTCCACCGACATCTTCTCATAACAGGCCAGGCCATACAGACGATCCTTTCTGAAGTAACTAAAGATAAAATACATACTGGTAAGAAAGTGATTTTTATCACACTTTGATATAGAAGTATACTAGCTGATGATAAAATGATACATATTGAATTCTGCCTAGCTGAAATATTTTTGAACAATACTCATACATTTGATATCAGACTAGATAATGGTACAGAAAAGCAGACTCTGTTGACAGATTGGGTCCTTTGATTATGACCGATAGAAAAAAAACTCTTTCACATTTTGAAGCAGACCTGATCTTCTTATCCAAAGGATCATATTTATTTCTGTTCCCAAATTTCCACTATACCACACACATAAAGGAATATAAACAATACCATACATACACAAAGTCCTTTTGTTGTGTGTGAGATCCACTGACCATTGCTTTGAACTCCACCCCATCCAGCTCAAAGTCATCAGGGGTACACCACTCTATCATATTTCCTAGAAATTATAGCAAATGGAATGATACTAATTTCAGAACATTTACATGTACCTTTTTTTTTAATAGACTTAATTGTATTACCGGGTGCATATTTTTAAAACAGACTTAATGGCCTTACATGGTATTACAAATGATCAATGGTGTATGTCAAATCATTCATTATAATCAGATGCTTTACAATATATCCCATTATTTCATAATTTTGATCATGTATTGTGATTTATCAATAATTTGACTCTGTATCATGGTACAGTACATACTGATATCACTTTTCATTCCATAAAAAGTTAAAAACAAAATATCACTGTAAATTGTTAGCTATTAATGTATCCTTCAGTCTGAATATACATCCTTAATTACACTTTAATTATAGAATCAATTAGACAAAATATCTAATTCTTAAATACAAAACATATTATTATACTTCTGTTATTTAAAATGTTTTCTATATAAAGCTAAGAAGGTAAAAGGCAAGCCCTCTGGGAATAGTTCCTGTCGCGGGTTTGATAAAAGAGCTATCCCACCCACAACCAGTGGATAAATGTATATTATATTTTGTAAATTAAATGGTGTGAATTTTAATTCATGACAAATACATGTAACATGTATAAAAATAGAAAAAAAAAAGTTTTCTGGATTGCTCTAATACGCCGACTTCTAACCATACATATCATGATATACCGGTAAACCATAACAACTCTTTTCATAATCTTCCCTGGGATCGCATTATTATTTCTCTTTAGAGAAGTAGAAATAGCTCTGTACTATCCATGCCCACTTCTCAAAGGAGAATAAAGATCGCATGAACCCCACTTGTAACAAGTTTTATAATTCATTATATACTTATTCAGAATCGTTGAATATTTCAAACAAATCACTACACAACAGACATGTTTTATTTTAATATACTGTATTTCTTATAGGCCTACCCAGAGTAAACAGATGATAGGTCCTTCTCATTAAGCATCACAACTTACCTGACCGTGTGTCAAACGTCACAACGAACACACAGACAATGTGATCCTCCTCCGTAGGTGTGACAGAACTTACATCCAAGCTCCGGTGTGTGGTGGGGAAGGTGTGGCTGTGTCTGAGTCGAGGACCCTCATCGTCATCTGAAGATTGTAGCAGTGGAGACTTCTCATCATCTGCCATGTTTATATTGATTACGTTACTTCCGGTAAGAGTTATTCCACGTTGAACATCAAAGTCACCCCCCCCCCCAACTCTATTTTAACCAAGAGGCCCAAGGGCCTTAACGGTCACCTGAGTACAAAACATCAATTTAGAGGATCCATAAACTGAAAAATGAAGCTTTGTTGCCCAAAAGCAGGAAAAATAGTATGATTAGCATCAACAAAATAATTGGTCTAGTATCTACCTGCCTATCTGACTTTCCAAGTCATTAAATCTATGAAAATATTTTTTCATTATACAATAAATTATCTTGCATAATTCTCTTATTCTATTAAGCTTTCAAATACATTATTTACATTGATTAATTATCAAAGGTGAATGGCAAAGGGGAATAACTTTGCTCAGCAGAATACAAGTTAATAGAGCCCTGGCCAGGACTAGAACACTTGACTAAATGGTCCAGGTGTTCAAAATTCTGGTAAAAATACCCTTTCATATTAAAACTTTTACTCTGTTTGCCTTGAACATCCCCAGAAGCATAGAAGATTTTCAAAGAAATGCATTTTCACCATATTATTAAATAAATAAAGCCCTATCCTTACCCAGAACATCTGACCCATTGGCCACGAACTCACAATTCTGGAAGAAGCACCCTTTCTCATTATAACTATACACTTGTTTCTTTACTTTATCACCAGTAGTAGAAAAAATATTTTAAAAGAAATTATGCATTTTCACTTTATATAATCAATAGAGCTCTTTCCCCCTCACCAGAACCCCTGACCCAAGGGCCATGAGGCATTCTTCCTTATCATAACCATGCACTTCCTTTGTTTGAAAAATACCCAGGCGCACAGAAGATTTTGAAAGAATTCATGCCTATTCCCTATATAATCAATAGAGCCCCGCCCTAACACCAGAACCCCTGACCCAGAGGCCATTAAATTCATAATTTCTGAGGCAGCCATGCTCATCATAACTATGTACTTAGTTTATTTAATATCCAGGAGCAGAGAAGATTTTCAAAGAATTAATGCAATTTTACTATATAATCAATGGAGCCCATCCCTAACACCAGAACCCCTGACCCAAGGGCCATGAAACAATTTCTGAAAAGGCAGTCATGCTCACCATAACTATGTTCTTAGTTAGTTTATTTAATACCCAGGAGCAGAGAAAAAGATTTTCAAAGAATTAATGCAATTCTACTATATAATCAATAGAGCCCTGCCCTAACACCAGAACCCCTGACCCAGGGGCCATGAAATTCACAATTTTGGAAGAGGCACTCTTGCTCATCATAACTATGTACTAAGTTACTTTATTTAATGCCCAGGAGCAGAGAAGATTTTCAAAGAATTAATGCATTTTAACTATATAATCAAAAGAGCCCCATCCTAACACCAGAACCCCTGACCCTGGGGCCATGAAATTCACAATTTTGAAAGAGGCACTCTTGTTCTTCATAACTATGTACTTAATACCCAGGAGCAGAGAAAATTATTGCAATTCTACTACATAATCAATAGAGCCCCGCCCTAACACCAGAACCCCTGACCCTGGGGCCATGAAATTCAAAATTTTGAAAGAGGTACTCTTGCTAATCATAACTATATATTAAGTTAGTTTATCTAATACCCAGGAGCAGAGAAGAAGATTTTCAAAGAATTAATGCCTTTTCACTATATAAACAATAGAGCCCCGCCCTAACACCAGAACCCTTGACCCTGGGGCCATGAAATTCATAATTTCAGAAGAGGCACTCTTGCTCATCATAACTATGTACTAACTTAGTTCATTTTATATCCAGGAGCAGAGAAGAAGATTTTCAAAGAATTAATAACATTTTCACTATATAATCAATAAAGCCCTGTCGTAACACCAGAACCCCTGACCCTGGGGCCATGAAATTCACAATTTTGGAAGAGGCACTCTTGCTCATCATAACTATATACTTAGTTATTTTATTTAATACCCAGGAGCAGAGAAGAAGATTTTCAAAGAATTAATACATTTTCACTATATAATCAATAGAGCCCCGCCCTAACACCAGAACCCCTGACCCAGGGGCCATGAAATTCACAATTTAGAAAGAGGCACTCTTGCTCATCATAACTATATACTTAGTTAATTTATTTAATACCCAGGAGCAGAGAAAAAGATTTTCAAAGAATTAATGCACTTTCACTATATTATCTATATAGCCCCACCCTAGCACCAGAACCCCTGACCCTGGGGCCATGAATTTCACAATTTTGGTAGAGGACTCAATGCTTATTACAATGATGCCAACAGTTTGACTGCTTGATGTCCAGGAGCAAAGAAGAAGATTTTTAAAGATTGCATTATTTTTGGTGGTTTTAGCCCCACCCCTCAGGCCCCAGGGGGGCAGGGACCATGGAATTCACAATTTTTGTTCCCCTTCACCCATAAATGCTATATGCCAAATTTGGTTGAAATTGGTTCAGCGGTTTCAGAGAAGAAGCTAAAAATGTTCAAATGTTAACACACGACGCACACCGCACGACGCACGACGCACGCCGACGGACGAGAACGGATAGCAATAGGTCACCTGAGTGACTCAGGTGACCTAAAAATATCGGGGGGGGGGTCCAATAATTTTGCGTCTATGCTTTACACTATAAAGCAAGCTAATTTACAGTTGTACCCCCTAAATAATTTTTCCGGCATATAGATCTACTATGAAAATCGAAACTAATTTACGATTGTGCCCCCTCGGCAGAATTAAAGTATTATTCATTTACTTTAATTACTTTTTTTCTTGTCAAGTTTCTGCTAGATTGGCTTCGACCCATCTCATCATAACCATGTACCTTTTTTACTACGCTGCCAAGTTATTTTTATCTAGAAATTCAAAATAAAAAAAAAATTAATTTAGCTAGTACTTTAGCAATGGCAAAGATCAATTTAGTTTAGTATCAAGGAGCTTATATAGCCAAGTTTCTATCTTTAAAAAAGAATAATTTAAATCTGATTATAACGCGGTATTTGATTGGGGAAAAAAAATTTACTTTATAAATATTGTATGAATTGGGTTGCCTGCATCACAATGACTTGCGCCAAAAACGTATCGATCCGCCCGCTGACGTTACATTTAAATTTTGTACGATTTGAAGTAATTTTTTAAGGGCAATCATCTTTTTTCTTACACTAAATGAGTGAAAATTAAATTATAAGGAATGAATTTTAAAATAGCTACCCAATTTATAGTATACGGTATAAAGTGGGTTGGAACAGTTTACGCTTTTTTATAAACCGCGAAGAAACCAAAAACATGCGTGCCCAGGAGAGGAAGACTCTATACTGTGAGTATATGGAGTATATGAATAATTGGTTGGATAAATTGTCTTACTTCGAAAAGCTATTAGGATCAAACTACGGTAAAAAAAAAATTTAAAAGGCGTTATATAACGCCTTTTCAAAAGGCGTTATAACGCGAAAAAAGGCGTAATAACGCCTTTTGAAAAGGCGTTATAACGCGGAAAAAGGCGTAATAACGCAAATAAAGGCGTAATCATGCCTTTTTAAAAGGCGTTATTACGCCTTTCCAAAAGGCGTTATTACGCCTTTCTAAAAGGCATTAATACGCCTTTCCAAAAGGCGTTATTATGCCTTTTGAAGAGCCATTATTATGTCTTTGACAGGCCCGTGCTTTTGAAGGGGGGGGGGGGGCTCCCATAAAATTGACAAGCAAACAAAAAAAAAAAACAAGGAACAACCCCCCCCCCCCTCCCCCCGAAAAAAATAAACTGCCTAAACTTGAGGGGAATCTTTTTTTAACGTTTCGGTTAAACTTTTTTTTAAATGCAATGACTTGCCCGAGTTTAACCATACTGCAACAAAATGTTAAGGGACCGAGCAATCAATAAATGATTTTTTATATTTAAACTATAGCATTACCATTCTCCCAAAAAGTGGGGTGGGGGAGCCCCCCCCCCCCCCACACACACACACACTCGCATTCGTACTACCGGCCTGTTTGAAAAGGAGTTATATCCAAAAATGGAAAGGCGTTATTTTAAAATAATAAATATATGAAAGATTGAACCAAAGCCATCTTTATTTATGCAATATTTAGATTATAGTTTTAATATTATAAATTATAGTATTTTCTATATTCCTGCACATCTCACAGACAGCTGTTTGCATGCGTATTAAGTCAACACTCTACTTTTGAAAATCCAGGATACAGGCAGAGCCAGCTTTTGTCTTTGCTAGCCATGTATTAAAAATTCATGTCAAATTTGAAATACTTTTCTCTCCTCTTGGAAAAAAAATAACAGGCAAATTATTTGCATAGTATAATGAGCAATTAGCCTTCAACCAAATTTCTGAAATCCATGCACCTTGGTAGAGGTGTCTGGCATCAGAGAAGGACTAAGATGGTTTAACACTGAAAATATCTTACACATTTAAGAATCTTTTTTTCCTGGAAATCTAATTATAATCAGCCCCCGGGGTGGGCTAAGTAAGTCATGTATTGAAAAATAACGCCTTTTGGAAAGGCGTAATAACGCATTTTCGAAAGGCGTAGTAACGCCTTTTAGAAAGGCGTAATAACGCCTTTTTAAAAGGCGTAATAAAGCCTTTTGGAAAGGCGTAATAACGCCTTTTGGAAAGGCGTAATAACGCCTTTTAAAAAGGCGTAATTACGCCTTTTGTAAAGGCATTATAACGCCTTTTGGTAATTACGCCTTTATTTGCGTTCGCGTTATAACGCCTTTTCAAAAGGCGTTATTACGCCTTTTTTCGCGTTATAACGCTTTTTCAAAAGGCGTTATAACGCCTTTTAATTTTTTTTTACCGTAGTTTGATCCTAATAGGCTTTCGTATCTTACAGACATTTCACAAGATTTTAAATCTTTTACTTGTGAATTCTTTAGATGTACATGAATAAGGTGAAGATAACGCAGGTGCGAATCCAGAAATTTTTTTCAGAGCGGAAAGGGGGGGTCCACCTCAGTAAAAAGAACAACGTATACTCACTTCTTCTCCAAACTCCCAAACCTATTTCGTGGGGGGGGGGGGGGGTAGCCGCTCAAATTCCAGGGGGTCCGGATCCCCCCCCCTCCAAGATCCGCACATGTAAAGATAAGTGATCGATCTTAAAAAATATCTATAAACAATACAAATCTGTGAACAGGGCATAAAACACTGACCCCTGTAAATTCCAGAGGTGGGATCAGGTGCCTAGGGGTAGTAAGCATCCCCTGCTGACCGGTCACGCGCGCTGTATATTTGCGTTATCACCACTGCCCTACCAAACATTCAAATTTGTCTTTTATTACACAGATATGAAATTTTCTTACGTGGACCCCTATATGGCGTAGGATTCCATCAGTTTGCCCCAACGAGAAAGTACCCAAGGCTCTTCTGATCGTCGAAAGTGTTAATAGTTATACATGCATTATATATGCATTTGGCGCCCTTTCCAGATTCTTTTATAAACTGTTTTGTATCACTCGATCAACAGATATATTGTAATGGATATGAATTCGTATGTGCAGCCTTGAGAATTCAACACAGAAGCTTAATAAAATGGTCAATTCACGTTTCTCATGGATTCAATTTTCTACATTTTTGAAACAGATGGCTGTAGAGATGGGCGTTTCCGCCGCTGCCGTTTTTGCTAGTGTCACAATACCCAAGTTGTGAAATTGGTCCACATCATTATTTGGACGCATAATCCAGGCCATAAAGGGAGCATGTCATACCTGAAAGGTATGGTATATAGGATAATATTTTTTTGAAATACCTTAAAGGTATTTGTGATATAATTGGAAGTCTTTTTTTTTTTAAAGTAAAACATTTGTAGAAAATGGTATAAGAAATACACCTTTTTATTAGGTCAATCCCTTGATATATGGACTTCACAGAAAAGCATATCGACTTCGCTCTTCTTACTCGGTTGATATGGTTTTCTGTGAAGTCCATAATATGAAACGATGGGTCTCATTAAAGGGCTATACGTGTTTTTATGCATAGAAATTCCAAGATCACAATATATTTTTTTTCTTGTTTATTGAAGATCGTGTTTCATTACAAAAGGCTACCGCCGACACTACTCACCAGATTCGTCCGGAGTACAAGTATTTCTTGTGAGTATTCTCAAACATGTGTACTCCCCAGAAACTAAGAAAATGGAATGCGTTATTTGCTACCGCAAAGGGTTGCGTTATAAAAACTGAGCGTGTCTATTGTCCTGGTCAGGAGAACTGTTCGATTTATATTGCAATGTTAACTCTTTGATAAAATAATCAGTTTGGAGTGCAATAATGTTGTGTTTGATTCACTTACCTTGAATTTAGAAATTGGTATTTCATGTAAGAATGATTTCTCTTTATTTCAAAATTGTTAACAAGTATTGATTTTGATACAAGCTTATAAAGGATGTGAAAGTTTTCGTATTTTTATTTATTTACGTCACAAAGCATAACCATAACCACCAGGTGATAGTATTAAAAATTTATACATTTATATCTTTTGAACTATTTCATTCGTATCAAGAAGTCTTGTTGAAATGAAGTAATTAAAAGTATTATATAATGTCTTTTATCTAACAATATATAATTTAAGAAAAATTAAATTAATTTTTTTTTATTAAAATAAAGTATCAAGAGCATGCCTGGGTTTGAGGAAACATTGATTGGGTGTCTGACCCTCTCCTATGTGATGGACAAATCTCAGAATTTACCATAGAACCCCTTCATCTTAGCTTGGGCATTTTTTTTACTCTCAAAAGTATTTTGTTTTGTTTAAATTATTATATGGTTGTAGATTTTTTCGCTTTGTTACAAACCCTTCGGAAATTTCGGGGGGTGGGGTGGGGGTGGGGGGGGGGGTCTAATTCTGCTTTACATCAAATCAGATATCCCCAGTTTATATAATTATACAAATACCAATTATGTCTCTGACATAATAACAAGATACTCTCATTACTGATGTTTACATTTAGCAAGGTGTTATTGATATTTACAGAAAGATAAAAGTTAAAAATTCTCGAAATTCCAACATAATTTCTTGTATTTATCTGTCTTATTATTAGTATGTAGTTGTACATTGTGTAGAAGAATATCCCCCTCTGTTGTACGTAGTGTGCCTTATACTGGTACGTACACTAACCCTGGTTTACCACAGTCGGTGATAACAAGGGGTCGATATAGCTGAAGGGGGATATCTCATGCAGGTATATTTTCATAATGCATATTAATGCAGTAGAGATAGGGGAACTATTATCAAACGAAACGTCGACACATACACACGGGTATTGAATGGAGGGAGTGCAAAAATGTGGATATCTTGAGGTTAAGGAACCATCATGTATCAAAGGAAGAAAACTTAAGGTAGATCATTTATAATTATGAAGAACTATTAAAAAATAAAAACTTAGTGTAGACCGGGCCTTTTATAATTTTAAAGAAAAATTAAACACTTGAGGTAGACCATTTGAAATGTATTATGAAACTATATTAATTAAGCTATTATTTTCGTAGGGGAAAAATAAATGTATTCAAATTACTGTGTTATATTGGCATTATTGCGTTAATCTTTTGAAAATATGTAAATATCCCTATTTAATAAGTATAGGAACAATTAAATCATCTATGCTGAAACTTATGAATATGTAAGATTCAGTCATACTGCATCTTAACTCTTGTATGCAATATCTGTATATAAAGAAAGAATGTTAAATTTCGGCCTCTGTACAATAAGAAGAAAACGACCAGAAATATTCAAGCACTGAATCGTAGTCAGGGGATTAACCAATGCTGAGAATTCAAAGTATATCCTCGTCAAATATAGTATATTTCATTATAGCATCAGGCTGAAATGTAATTTTGTAATTATTTTTTCCAACCTCTTATGAAGGTAAACAACGTTCCCAGGTACGTGTATCATTATTTCATGTTTCATGTATCATCATAATTTATCAGTCAATGTTATGCAAGCCACATTCGATACAACGTCAATGAATGATATAAATTAGATCATTTATTGATACCAATATCGTCCACTGTATGATCTTTGTTTTCTGTAAGTACAAATTAATGGATACATATTCATACACTCATGCTAACTTTAGTGATTTTATATCATTAGTGGTTAAAACAATACATTGACATGACTATATTCAGTGTATGCCTTGTGAATCTTTTTTCTTAAATAAACACAAATGTAAAGAACGCGATTTTAGTGTTTGTCCAGTGAATCCCTTTTTAGATTAGATAAATGTACATACAACCTATAGCCTGAAAATCTGTTTCTTAGATTTAAGGCCATTCCAAGTTTTTTTTTCTATGTTTAGCATCAGTGCGCCTTGGTTTTTGACACCTCAGAAAAAAAAACCCAAAATCAGCAGTCCTGAAATTGATTATTCTGGTCAAAATCTTTGAATTCTCTCAATTTCGCTAAATATTTGTCTACAATATGTCATATTAGTTACATTTTAAGCATTTAATACATTGCTTTTGCTGAAGAATAGATTTTTAAAAATAGATTAATGAAGTAAAATTTGTCGTCATTTTTATGACTATCAAGTCTGTGTTTTATTTTGTCCTGTGTGTTTTTTTGCGAATAGGTAGGTAAGCTTTTTAAAGATGGGTGGACGCTAAACAGAGAAAAAACTTGGAATGACCTAAATTGGTAACAGTACAAACGTGTAATTCACTGGTGAACAGTTTTTGAAAGTATTTAGTCACCTGACATAGGTTATGTCATGATTTCCCAAAAGGTGCATTTGGTTTACTTTTATTTCATAACGAACTAGTATATTTGACACTGATGCTGACACTGATGCCGTGTTTATCACTGTTTTCCTCCTGTATTCTTGTGATGGGTTGTAGTACAAGTATACGTAACCACTTGATGATATAACCACAACGATGCATCCAATTATATTCCTATAATTTTTACCATAGTGGACAAAATTGTACGTCACTAGTGGAAGACAATTACTATATATTCATGACAATTTGTATCACCACAGGATGTTGCATCCACAAGGCCCGATAACATGACTTGATTTTACGTGATCACTATATTTTATACAAAAAGGCCTCTTAATAATATCTTTGGTTTTGAAAAAAAATAAACCTTTTCTTAAATTTTACTCTCTAACATTTTGAATTTATATATTTTACCTAACTTTGTCGTCTATAAATACTGAATATAAATGATTGATACTGATTATAAATAAAAACAATGGTCGCACGGCCAATACACAACAGACCCTGATAAATTATCCTTCCCCTTCCATTCATTATCAAATTCACGTACACATCATGTATCCCTTAATTTACATATCTCCACTGATAACAATTGCAGTTGATTAAAGCCAATTTCTATGTATATATACTTGAGGCCATTGCCAAAATGCAGGTTACTGGGTCAAAACTCATCTTTGTTTAGAAGTTAGCTCTCTGAACTACTAATTAAGACATACATGTAGATATACATTAGGACTTCATATATATTTGTTTACTCCTTAAACAGATGTTTTAAAAATATTGAAAAGAAAACATAACTGCACAAAATGTAATTTTTTTCAGAATGATTTCAGTAGATACCGTAAATCTACCATAGTGTAAGTAATTAACTGAATGTATTTTTTAAGAAATATCAGAGAGAGAGAGAGAGAGAATTATATTTGCTACCCTTGTAAACCTCGCTCCAATATAAGGATCTGAGAAGTTCCTCCAATTTTAATTTTAGTCGCAACAAAGATCAAGCTCTAAGATCATGAAATATCTTAAGCTTAGGCCAAAATAAAAATTGCACTGACATAATTTTAAACAATTAAAAAAAAAAGTTATCTAAGATTGCATCATTAAACCGTTGTTATCTGCAAATTAAGTTTCAATTCACAATTAACAAATTAAGTCTCTCTGTTTCATGATCCCCAGGACCAGTTCTAGTTCAATACTATTTGCTCGACAATATGCCAATAAACTACACACAATGGGTATAGGCCATATCTTGGAACTTACATGTACATCATTGTGTTTGCTACTTGCCCAAATCATTTGTACTTGACTTTGTTGAACAGAACAGTTAATCATTTTTATTGCATGTATTTTGATTTGGAGTGGGGCTAAATACATAAAGTATCTTTTTTGTTTCCATGACAGGCCCGTAGGTACGGAGGATGGTGTAGTCCCCCTACTCCCTCCCCCTTCAATAATTTGCAAAAACAGTAACCACCCCCCCCCCAAAAAAAAAACAACACATTCACTGTTGTTCCCCCTCAATAATAACGTCTGATGACTCCGTCCTGTATATTTTCTTTATTTGCTTGTCAGAAAGAACTATGTGCAATATATGTATTTTTGCCCCAGCAAGTCATATTGCGAAAATTTCTTGAAATGTGCTGAATTGTATATATTGTATGAGAAATCTAACTTAACCAAAAATATTATAGTTTCAAAGTAAGTTATTGGCAATTTTTTGTTTCTATGACGTTACAAACTATTCGAATTTTGTGTTATTTCTCAGAAAAAGGAAAAAAATTGACAAAATCTGTTCAATTTTTACTATAAAATTTGTAGAGCGCAGACCTGCTCCAGAACAATATTTACACATTTCAATGATATTATCATTCTACACATTATATCAAAATATTGAGTTGGAGCAGACCTGCGCTTCGTGATTTTTACTCAAAATATGGACGTAATATATACACCTTTTTTTCTGTATAAATCATGGAAATGTTGAATTTACGTCATTTTCCTGATGTCATATCATGGCTTATAAAACTATTCAGTGCTTTGAAGTCTGCAGATATCACCGTTTTAGAATGTAATTATATATTTCTCCGTCAAAGTTTGATTTTGGGGGGCAAATATTAGTCATTACCGAATAAAGTCCTTTCTTTTAGGTTGCCTCCCCCACAAAAAAAAAATTGAAATTGGTTCTTACGGGCGTGTATGCACGAGGTCTAACAACCTTTTTTTATTTGTTTATTCGTAGACATGGAAAAGAAAATGGGCTGTCATGCAGGAAATGAGCAATTTAGCATCTGGAACTCTAGCAGCAAAATTGGATTTCTTTCTGAACGAGGCTTCTTCAAAAACAAATCCTCCATCAGCCGACAAACAGACATACCTTCTGGAAAATGTAACAGCTGTTGAACCATGTTCTTCCAAAACTCACAAACTGGCATTCCAGATCGTACAAACCACACCAACCCTGGTTCTTTGTGCACAGACACAAAAAGAAACAGAGCAATGGATATTGGCCTTCAAACAAATATTCTTGCCAAACCAGAGAATAACAGAAGAGGGTAAGTTAAAAAAGTTACATTGGTCATTCTAATTTTAAGCAATCTGTCCTGTTCAAACCTCTCATTTTATGCCTTTCATGCTCTCATAAAAAGTATTCCTTTTAAGATGGATTCCCTGTTACTGTTGTTACAAATGATGACGCAAAACGCTGCAACATACAGGGGGAATACCTTATGGTTGTGTCTCCGGAAGTTATTTCTATAGAAGGAACCAATGGTCAGACTGGAATGGAATGGAGGCTGGACTGTTTGAAGCGATTCCACATGGATACAAGCAGACAGCACATTCTATTTATAGAAAGTGGGGCGTAAGTAACAACGTTTATCACACAAGAATTGATACCTATGGAACTGTGAGCTATTAATGATCAGTAATATAATTTCTGTAGGAAAGCTAGCTGTGGAGAAGCAAAATTCGAGTTCCAGACGACTCTGGTACATGCGATATTACAGGCGATCAAGACTAACATCAACAAGGCAATCGAGATGAGGAAAAGGCGATCTTGTCAGAGTCAGGAGTCCCGGGACAGAACAATGTCAATGGAACGAGGATTTCACAACATTTTGTCGAATTCCGGACAGAGAAGTCGAGCTTCGTCTTCTGCAGAAAGCAACAAATCAGTGCCTAGCCCTGTTACCAACTCCCCAACATTGTCTCTCAAAAGCGCTCTAGAGAGAACTGCTTGCTGGCAAGAAAAGAATGAAAATTTCTCTAGACTTCGATGTAATTCTTTAACACTTGGAAGTAACGTTAGTGAAGAAAGATCAGAAGAAAATTCACATTCACACACAAGGAGTCTTTCTCTGCATGTTCAGTCGGATAAGAAATCTCCACATCAATATGATATTTTGACATTAACAGATAAGTCCAAATTGGAGATAAAACCAGAAATAGTTGCTAAAGTCTGTGTTGCAACAGAAGATAGTTCTAAACCACTGGAAGTCATGTTAGACAGTCATGGCTACAGTCACATACCAGCTAATGTTAAACACAGAAAAGACCATGAATGTGAAGCTGGTGCAGAGGAATCTGAAATTCCAAAGACTACATCGAGTTCAGATGTAACCGAGAACATTTCTCCCAATGTTGATGAAAGACCATGCATGGGCACAACCGAAGAACACAACACACAGAGTGATATGACCAGCGAAAACTTAGAAGAGAAACGTTCATTTTCTATCGAATCACACGATTCGGGTGTTTCTTGTCCTTCGAGTTACCAGACATCCACTGCAGACGAACAGGCCCATCGAAACAAGGAATCGTTCGATAGTGCTATTTCATATTCAGAAATAAGGGTCTCTATTCCGGAAGCAATCGTCGTCACCGACAGTGGTAATTCTGGGTTTACTAGATCTTTTTCACAGCCAGACAGTATGTGCTTCAATGAACCCAAAAATGAACGTTCAAACTCCGAACCTACCAAGACGGTAGCCTGTGAAACTGGATATGCAAATATGGAAAGTGAATACGAAGACCTTGATAAATACAGAAAGGACTTGAAAAAATTTTTGGGGATGAGCGATAAACCTCCAGAGGAGGTTCCTCCAAGTTTACCTGAACGTCCAGCAAGTTTACCTCCATCGAGGAAAGTGTTAACAGTCCCAAAAAGGAAAAGAGTCTCCTTCACTGCCTTTGGAAACAATCGGTCGTCCTCGTCAAGTTCAGATTCTGAAGATGCAGAGCATGAAATAGCAACAATCGCAAGTTGGCCTATAGGACAAAATACAGGTAGTAATGCTCTGTATGCTAGCGTTGAAAGAAATGCGAATGTTGTTGAAACGAAAACTTCAGAGTATGATCAAAATCTATACGAGACGATACCAGCAGCAGTTGAGGAAGAACACAACGAATCTCCAATTTCCTCGATCAAAACATGGCCTCTAAATCGTACAGCGAAAGCCAACTGTAATCGTTTTTATGAATCTAACGTTTCAATACAAACACCAGCATTTCCATCTGAGACTGAGGTGACAGATTCTAAACCCTTGTCAAAGAAAGACCAAGATGACATATCGAGAGATTTTCTGACTGGGGAAGCACCGCATATATCTTCCAAAGTGCTTCCAGTTTTGAACCCTACAAAGCAAGCACCTGTTGTGGACCTTTTAAGTGAGGATATACCAGACCAGTCCAAGAAATTACCTGTTTTGGACGTTATGTTACCATTCGGTTTTGAAGAAATTAAAAACAGTCAGCTTGGCACGGGAATGTCACAGGTAAAACTTAGAAGACCGGATGGAGCGGAAAACCCATTCCCAAACATAGCTCGCTATAGTGGAGCTATGGAAAGTTTTGCAGAGAACTCGAGAAATTCAACCAGGCGAAATTCTAACAATTCTGATATAGTAACCACAGAAGAAGGGAATTTTCAAAACAAAACTGAAGTTGATTGTGTTCAGGAAGAAAAAGACTTGATTGACTTTGGGGATACAGAATCGTCTTCTGATCAGAAACCTGACACGGAGGATGTTTATATTGCAATGGAAGAGAAGGAACCTATCTATGTAGAACCTTCACTTTTACAATCAAGTGATTGATGACAGTCATAGCGTTTAAGCTTGCAAGAGTCTTCACGATGAAGACTATCAAATGTATATAATGTACAAAATAAATATATATAATCATTATATCATATATGAACCTCGCTTTGTTTTAATTCTACCAGTGTATGAAAATAATATCAGAATCATGTGCATTTTTTAATGGGGACGATGGTAAATGTACTGTATTGGACACTATAAGATGTGCTTAATACACAATGTTTGCCAAACAAACTTATAAAGCACAAGTACCCGTCCTGAAACGTAAAGTTTCAGCCTTTTCCCCAAAGGTAGAAATTAAAAGTACATCAGAACAAGAGGTCAGAACACACACCCGAGTCAGCATTCTCTTCCTGACAATGTATCAATATGTAGATAATCGAAATTCCTTACTGTCATTTCAAAATTTAAGACCGTGGTTTCAACAATATACCGAGGCTTGATGTCAGCTTTGCAACTCCTTATTCTTGCAAATGTTTACATATACCTAATAAAACAACACGAATGGAATAAAACTTCCAATGATCGTCCTAACTTAGTTGACTACTCCCTAGGTCATGCTTTGAATTGATGATTGCGCACTACTATTACTACTTACCTTGCTCTTTCTTGAGATCTTTTTAACTGTTTAACGAACTCATTTCTTATCGCCATTTCCTAAGTCACGTGGTATCAGGGGGTGGTTGTCTCCCCTGAGTGACTTCCTCTTTTTCAGAATTTAATCTTTTGTTGTTAATTTAGCATAGAAATTTTTATTTTTATTAAAGGGCCTGAAACTCCACCCCTCTCCAACTTTTTGTTGCAGTAAGGTCAAACCATATGGTCAAAGACTAAAACATAAAACCATAGCGCTACAGTTCTGCAGCAAGGTCAAACCTGCATTAATTATCCGCCTGTCTTAGGGCAATGATTTGAAAAAAAAAATCAGTGTCAACTCTCTTCCTTTATCTATGTCCCAAGCTCCATCAAATTAGTTCAATGCAGCAAAGAAGAAAAAATATCAATCAAAACTTCATGTTGGTTTATTTTTAAAGGTTTATAATAAAAGTACAACATATAAAAACATTTTTAAAAACATAACCAATTTAGGCAGGTCAGTGGAATGTCTGATAATAAATAGCAATACTAATTGCAGAATATATAAAAACCCTGCATTTCCCTCCTCTGTTTCACAGAAGTTTAATAACGGTCATTTATAGAAAGAAATAGTTAATTATCCTTTTCTATACAGTATACTGCATTTACTGGCATCTTACAAGAAATACAATGTTTACAATTTCTCTTTAGTACATGTACCACTTCCATCCATTACAGGAATAGCTATAAGAGCAGTTAATTAAGAAAGTTAAAATAATTTTTTTCTGATTTAGTGATTAAGGAAAGTCTTTCTGAAAGAGGAACCACAGAAAGTCAATTAATTAAAAATAATGCCATTTCTACACTGATTTTTGAGAGATTATCAAATTTAAAACATCAAGTTGTTTTCCAAAAACAGATTTAGCCAACCTATATGTACATATTTAAAACAAACAGATATGCACACAACAAGAGAAAATGGAAGACATTAGAATTTAAAACTTGCAATTTATGGTTTGAAAAAATAAACCCAAAATTATTTATATTTGTTCCAAACAGAAAAGAACCATTGCATGAAAGGGGGGGGGGGGACATTTGCTTGAAAAAAGGATAGTTATTCAAAAGAAGTTTTTAATCTGGTTAAATATATGAAACTTTTTATAATAGTTATATAATCAGATAATTAAATCCCAGAATAACTCAGTTTTGAATTAAACATCAAATAAGTACATGTAAGCCTCTAAAGAGACTTTTATCAAAAGTACTGATGATAAAATTGTAAACTAATCTGAATAGTCACCCCCAAAAAAAATCATGCAGCAATGCAATTCTGATCATGTGAAAAAGGACTTCTTAATAACTATATCAACTGAGTTAATACAATGTATGTCTTCATACACTAGTAGTAGTACACATTCAATGTGTTCCAAACTCTATTAGAAATAATACTTCACATTATGCCTAAAATGCTTTCGATTGTACGAGATTTCATACATTAAAAATCTTCATGATTCCAGTATAAACACTTTTATAAACATTTCATGATACGTAAGAGGTATTTCTCTAAAGATCACTTCGTCATCTTGGCTTCTTGGATCCACAGCAGGAGGATTTTGTCTCTTGGTTTTTGTCCTGGTGACGTAGGTGTATAGTATTTCCTGGTCGAGCGGACACTGGGTCCTCAGGAGGAAGTCCGTCAGCTGAAAGTAGGTTGTGTCTCACATTGTAATTATACAGTACCAAACTAAAAGACGCTTCAAATTTACTGGTGCAATAGAGTGTTCACATAACATGACATAGTATTAGAGCTTTAACCAAGTTTTTTTAAGGTATTTAAAAAAAATGAGTACATCCACTACTAACCTATTGCAGTAAACAGCTGTGGTACATTAACTGCTGATAAAGCACTTGTCTCAATAAATAGGGCTCCTATGGACCGAGCATACTCTTCAGCATCTGAACCACGGAAATTGTGATTAATAAACCATGAAATATAAATCTGGAAATCTAAGTCTCCAAAAGTAAGACCCACACAGGAACATATAATAATCATCCATTCTACATGTAGGCTATATAATAGCTGCTTGGTGGGCTCAAGGATATTTTAACATACCCTATCATCATATAATTAACATCATTTCGGGGTTTACATATAAATTTTGACCATACATGTATTTAATGTACACTTTATTTATTAAGTACTGGTATATTTACCAGGTATATTTACTTACCACGATATCTGACCTCCCTCAGGTCACTAAGGTCACATTTGTTTCCTGCAATAGCTATCACCATATCTGGTGTGCCATTTCTTTTTAACTCCCTCACCCAGTCCTTTACAGTTCTAAAGGTGGCCTGTAATACAAATGTCACTTTTACTTTCATAATAAGAATCAACGAATCAATGAGCCATTTTAGTTCGTCTATGAAAGCAATGGTCTGAAACTCACTGGCTTTGATGGACAGGTACATTTACCTGCATAACCACAATTAAATGTTGTCAAATTGAATGTGACTGACTTCATTATTGTTGACAGATTCACTGAGTCAGATACATGTAAGAACTCTGTTAGCAACAGTTAATGAACAGTGTTCCTCATATGCAGCTATATCTAACTGCAGTCATGATTCACTGGATGACATTTTTTCAAAGAAATACTTTAAATTGCACATGCAGCATCAACACAGTTTTTTTTTAAAAAATACATTATTTCATAAATAATTACCTCCCTTGTGATGTCATACACAATTATGGCAGCAGCTGCTCCTCTGTAATACATAGGTGCCAAAGATCTATACTGTGAAACAAAAGGGGAATTTGTCCGAAATATGAATATTTTCAGAAGTTATAACTACAAATTGATTAACCTTTCTGTATATTTACTCATAATAGAATGTTATGTATCTAACTACAAATAAATTTTCCCATTAATAAATTGCCAGTTTTATTTATTTATGATTTTCAAGATTTATTTAAGTGTGTGCCAAAAGCAACTAGCCCACTGTCCATGATTTTGTTATCTTTCTGACCTTACCCTGGTTTGGTTATTCATAACTTGACATCCCGGTCGCCATGTAATAAATGGTTAAAAGTTGAGATGGAAACTGTTACTAACATAAAGAAATGCTTTGAGTTTATCAGTTTCCATGGAAAAATGGGCAGGCAGTGGGCCAAGACTCATATAGGAACATATTGTAATAAATGTTTATGGGGCATCAAACTGTATCCATGTGTAAAACAAAATCAGTTCATTAACATGATCAAATAACTTCACATAGATGCAGTTGTGTCACATGACAATAAAATGACAGGATATATGGTTGAGTTGATAGAAATTTAATTTTTTAAATTAAATATGAGCTTGTTAATTCAACCTAAAGTAAAGGTATGAAATAAAACCATATGTCATTCTATTTTTCACACTTTTAAGGGGGTTAGCAAAAATGATTCGGCTAGTAATATTTTGCAATTGCTAGCCCCACTGGGCTAGTGATGAAAAAAGTTTTTGGCGCATACTGTGAAAGACCATTAACTAAATAGCTTCTTCTCAAGTAGATATTGATACTGAATTTACAGTTGAGATCGTCTCTCTCCTGATTTGGGTCATACCTTTTCTTGACCTGCCGTGTCCCATATCTGGAATTGGTATGATACATCATACACCTCTACCCTCTTAGTCATGAAGGAAGCACTAAAAAGCAGCAATAATTATTCTCAGATTTTCAATAAAGTTTTGTGTGAAATATGAATACATATATAGAACACTTCTACAAGTAAATTTCTTTTCAAATTGAATAGTCTATATTTATCTTGATTTAAGTTGTATAAAATCACTGACTTTCCTGCATGTGTCCAACAAAGACAACATTATACATTTATTGACTGGGTTCGAGGGCAACAAGTGTTTTGTCGGACCCAAGAACCAAACTGTTTGCCTGAGGCCTTAAAACCAAAAACAAAGTTTAGTTTGAGGGATCGACAAATGTATTTTGCTCTTGAACACACTAAATGTTTTGCTATACATGTACCTTTTATTGTTTTGACATGCATGTATCTTGTGCTGCCTTCCATGATGTAAAATTTCCTTTACTTGACTGCTGTTAAACTTAGTCAATTCTGTCACTGATGAACACCAACGAATGCAAATGATATTTAGCTGATACTCCCCACAGTGTGACGTAAGCAGTACAATATCTCATGAACAGGTCCAATATCTCACTCCACAGTCAAACATCAATTTTTTTATGACCATTCAGTAAAACATTGGGCTTTTTTAGTATAGATTTTTTAAAGGTATAACAATTGCATTTGTTATACGTTTAAAAATTGTTTCCTACATTTCCAATGTTTTACTGAGTCGTCATAAAAAAATCAATGTTAGACCGCAGAGCGAGATTGGACCAGTCAACGAGATGTTGAACCACTTACATCACAGTGTGGGCGTAGTCAACTGTATCTTATTTGGCTGCATTCGTTGGAGTTTAACAGAACTTTACAGAACTGACCAAGTTTAAACCGCAGTGCGGGTAAACAAAATTTACATCATGTTATGTCAAAATAAAAAGTAAAAGGTATAACAATACACTTATTGACTGTGTTCTCAGGCAAAATGCGTTTTGTACACCCCTCGAACCAAACCGTTTGCCTTTGGCCTAACGGCCTCAGGCAAATAGTTTGATTCTTGGGTCCGACAAAATGCATGTTGCCCTCGAACCCAGTCAATAAATGTATATTATTAAATTAATTGACATACATGTCTTTCATTGAAGGCTGTGTCTATTTTTGCTTCCATGTACAGGATAAATACATACCCTATTGTGCTCTCCAATGCTGGCTTGAATGAATCATTGACAAACCTCAATACAATACTGGACTTCCCAACTCCCGAATCCTGTCCAAAAAACACGAACATGTACAAGGTAAACATCATTCAAACATACTTATAATATACCCATATTGTCCAAAGCAAATAAAGGAAAACGTTCAGCCTTTCAAGAAAAATGTTATTTATTAAAAAAGACAAATATAAGATATATAGGATATTTACAGGATATGTTTCGGTTTCAGATCCATTAATTGATTAATTTCTTACTTTCTCTTTGGTGTTTGGTATTTGTTTACATTATATAATCCAGCACCAAACTGTTCACAATCTTACCCCTAGTAAACAAACTTTTACTTCACGAACTGCCATTATTATCCGACATTTCTCTTCATTTAGCTCCTTTCACAAATTATTAGATTTGTTTTCATTTCAGTCGGATTAAGTTTAAACGTTAAGGTCTACGACTACCATTTTGCAAGTGCGTCACATGATCAACGGTATAATAAAGAGTGGTAAGAGTTATCGTCCTTAACCCTGTAACGCTCTCAAAAAAGAAGATGGGTGAATATGACGAGCGAAAACCCTATAGTGTGACAAACACGAAGGTGAAAAGTCAATTGTATCAAAAATTTCCTTGACATTTCATCCAACATTAAAATATACTTTATGTAAAATCTCTACAATCGGCAAAATCTCACAAAGATGCTTATGAAATATTATACACACACTCACATTATAACACTATTTTTCGATATGAGTGGGTCTTCGCTCCATTTTTTGAAATTTAATCCTCAAAGATTGCATAAAAATAAACATTTTCTGGTTTCCAAAAATATGGATCAAAGACCCACTATACCCTTAAAAAAAACATAGCATTCGCATCTTTTCCAGAAATACTTGAAGTCCATTAAGTCAAGGGTCATATCACAAACATGATTTAAATACCACTATTCATCAGGACTTGTGTAGTCTAGTAATTAGCGCGCTAGTCTCGAAAAAAAGAAGATATTTAGGATTTTTATTGCTAGGGTTCGAACCCCACGAATTCCACATTATAAAAGAATAAATTTTGCTGAGAAAATTTTCCTCAGAAAAAGTTTTGTTTATCATAATTTCATGAATTTCAATAATGAAAACTTTACTCTAAACACTAAATTCACAAATTGAAAGGATTTTTATATATGTGAAGCTATAGGCTTTCTGCACGCTATGTTCACCTATCTCCTTATGGCCTAATTAGAAATCTGTAAAACAGTTTCTACAGGCTTAATTATTGCTAAGGCCATGGAAACAGATATTTATCACAAACTTTCCCTATCAAACCAGAGATATAAATAACATTTATTCTATCTCTGATTAAACCCAGCATTATTTTTTTCATTCTCTCCAAATGATGGCAAATCTGTACTTTTATACAGTATCTATTTAGGTCAGTGGTCAGACGACACATTAATGGGATGGAAGACCAGAGATCGATCTACAGTACGTGACATCCATTGAAAAATGTGTATAACAGATCGATCTCAAAAAATCCACAAACAATACAAATATTTGAAGAGGGCATAAAACGCGGACCCATGGAAATTCCTGAGGTGGGATCAGGTGCCTACGAGGAATAAGCACCCCCTGTTGACCGGTCATACCCGCCGTGAGCTCTATGTATTGATCAGGTAAACGGAGCTATCCGTAGTCAATTCAGTACAAAAACAAAGGCCTAACAACTGGTATGAAACAAGTCAGCCAATATACAGCCCAATGACCTACGAAAACGATCTATGAATGACCTACGGATACATGTACGACCTACAGTGACCTATGAATACAACCTAACATATTCCTTTACTACTTCCACAACAAAACTTCATGTAAAAGTAACACAGGAAGAGTGTTGGACCGAATAGTGTCTCGCCACCCAAACTGACAATATGAATAGGCGAAACCTTTGATGGCACCAATTTCAGGCCCAGCTAGGAGGGCTATAAACAACGGTTTGGGGAATGTTTTATTTTGGAAGTAGTAAAAGAATATGTAAGGAACACACGGTTTGTAATATTTTCAGATGGCAGCTTAAATATAAGGAGAAATGAATCGAGAAATAGCGCACTTTTCGTGCGCAATAAATATACACTTTTTTCAATGGGTGGCACTGTAGATCTCTGGTCGTCTAAGACGTCTATCCAATTTTTTTTCAGACCAGCGAGCTACAGATCTGCAGCTACATCATCATGTGACTTCTAAACTGTTTTTCAAAATGGCCTTAAAAAGAAATACGACAATTAAAAATTATGATATTGGCAATTCAACTGATTTCCAATAGGATTATATAGGAAACACCGTCTGGTATTTTGCACAGACCCTTGGCAGATTACGCCACTATAAGACGGTGGCCGATACGTTGTGTCTTACAAGCTAGACCCTTGGAAACAATCATGTCGCATTGTACGCATAGGCGTCGGAACCGGGGGGCTAGGGACCCCCCCCCCCCCCACTTTTTTGCAAAGATAGACATAATATAGGCATTGAAAATTGGGGCTTACCTTTTTTTATTGGTTTAGCCCCCCCTTTCAATTAGCCCCCCCCCCCACTTTCAATTTGCTTCCGATGCCAACAATGATACGTCATTTATAATTACAAAAACAACAGAAGAACAATCATATATATATATATATATATATATATATATATATATATATATATATATATATATATATATATATTGCTACTCTTTTTTCTTGTACATACGTATACAATACATTTAAAATAATAATAAATAAATAAATGAACAAGCAAATTCAAAGAATTGTGGTCCCCCGCTTTGTAATTATTGAATTACAAATAGTTATGGCAAAGATTATAGCTTCTCAAAACTACATCAAACTTCAAGATCAAGTCATGAGGTCAAACATCATAATACAATCAGAAAGGTCTTGTCACAAGTAATTCGCACGTTAAAAAATATCAAAAACCAAAGTATACAGTCGGAAAGGTCTTGAAACAGGTATAATGCACATGTCAAATGTAAATGCCATACCTTCTCTTAATCAAAAGTTAACAACAATGTTAAAATTTTTGAAAATTGGGTCAAACGTCAAGGTCATGGGGTTAAAAATCATAACAGCATTTGGAAATGCTTGTCACATGTAATGCACGTGTCAAATATGAATGCCTTATCTTCGGTCCTTCAAAAGTTAGCAACACTTATGAAATATTTGAAAATTAGGTCAGACTTGAAGATCAAGGTCAAGGGGTCAATCATAGAGCATGCTCGGAAACATCTTGTCACAGGTAATGCACATGTCAAATTTGAAAGCCCTATCTTTTCTCATTCAAATTTCATGACCAATTCAAAGCAATGCTAGAATTTTTATAAGATAGGTCAAACTTCAAGGTCAAGGGGTCAGAAATCATAGTATATTTAAAAGGTCTTGACACAGGTAATGCACATGTCAAAATAAATAAGCAAATAAATAAATGATATCCATGAAATAGTTGTGTGTGTTTTGTGCATGTTAGTAATAAACAGTTTCTATATATAGTTCCTTGAGCGGAATTAAAGATTATGATTATATAAACCCTATTATAAAGTGATGTACTGATTGAAACTTACGCATTAGACGAGCTTCTTTGCATTGTGTCATATCTCACCTTAATATAATTATATTCATTCATAAGATAAGCATTACAACCTTGACATGTAAGGTACTTATTTCTGCACTGAGAAACTTTTCGAGAACCAAAGATTGATTTTTTACCAAAGCGCATCAAAAGGTTGGAAAATAACACAAAAGAAGCGAAAAGAGAATCCTCTTAAGAACTTTTAACTTTCATTTTAAGGCCACTTGACACAAAATCTTTTTTCCGCAAAAATCATGAACATAGATACTAAATCATTTCTGTTTATAACTTTATATAAGTACCGGTATATGTGTAAAATAACTGGTTAGCCACATATTCCCCCCTCCCCCAAGATCTCTTAATACTCTCCTATAGAGTGATGAGAAAATTGCATAGATTTGTAAAAGAGGGACACAAAGTGAAAATTTTGAAATCTAGAAGAAGTATATTATTTGATTAAATTAAAATATTTTCGGAATTTTTATTTCAGTCATTTTATGCAGAAACGTGATCAAATATTTTTTATGTCGCTTACAAATTTACTACTATATAAAATCTTATTTATAATTTGAAAGTATATACATGGTTTTATAAATATCTAACAATATATATGCAATTTTTTTTAGAGTTCTGACATGAACATTATACATTTTGTTATATCTTTAAAAAATGTTTCCTATATAAATCTATGCTAAAAAAAGTCTCTAACATTTCCAATGTTTTACTGACCGATCAAAAACATAAAATAAATAAATGAATAAAATAATAAATAGATAAATAAATAAATAAACAAATAAAAGAATTTAAGTTGAATTTAAAAAAATCAAATCAAATTTAAATTTAAAAAAAAAAAAACGATGTTGTACCGCAGCATGAGATATTGGACATGTCAATGAGATACTGGACCGCTTACGTAACACTGTGGGCTGGATCAACTATATAGTCTTATTTGCCTTCGTTGGAGTTCAAGGGAATTGGCCAAAATGAATTGCTGTGCAGTTAAACGAAATTTACATCATGGAAGCCAGCACAAGATACGTCAAAAAAGTAAAAGGTATAAAAGTATTCATTGACTTTGTTCTCATGCAAAATGCGTTTTGCCGACCTCTCGAACCAAACTGTTTTCCTTTGGCCAAACGGCCTGAAGTAAACAGTTTGGGTCCGACAAAACACATGTTGCCATCGAATCCATTTAATAAATGTGTCATATGTTTAAAAGGTATTCCACTGCAAATATTAATCTCTAATAATTGCATGGCATATAAAAGAACATTTTTTTCCACATACACCCAAACACACTTGCAAAGAAATGCAATAGTCTTGTTTTAAACGAAATCACAGCCAGTCACAGAAAATAAATTAACTTTCGTGACGTTTTTGTTTTAAATTGCACACAAACCTTTCAGATCTGACAATGAATTTGAACTTACCTGAAAGTGACATTGCATGGAACCGAATATGATTTAGACCATTACATTTTCGACATAGCAAAATGAATTTAGACAAAAATAATTGTCGCACTTCCGTGACGGTAAGCCAGGAATGTTTATGAATTTAATTAAGGTATAACCAGTTTTAGTTGGGGGGGGGGACGAAATGCTTAATACTTTTGCTTAAAACAAACAGTGAAACGACAATTATATCTATTGTCAAGAATTTCAACCCATATTGTTGAAAATTAACATCCGTAACGATTTCCCCCAGAAATTTTAACATCTCTAGATTCGTGCCAGACTTCAAAATTCATGTTTAGCTCTCTATACTCAACACCCCAAAACGAAAAAAATATGCCAAATTCAGGTTTATTTCAATAATCATGTTTATGCATTTACTTCCGTAACATTGCC